GGAATTTTGAAAGAAGGGTTGTCTACGAATTTTCTTTATCATTGTTTCCTTTAAGTTGATTGTTTTTCTAGGGTTAAGATATCGAATATTTTGCTGAATTTAGTTGTTCTTTGTTGTTTTTGGGCTCTAGCGGCGTCTAGAGTTTTGGGAGATCCGAATCCTCCTCTCCAACTGAGGATCAAATGTATCTTGTTGTTTTTCTTCCATCTATTATTAATATAATCATTTCTCACTTGTGTTTCCACCAAATTCTTCTTATTTCTGATATTAAACCTTGTTTAAATTCAAATTCAGCCAAGCTAATTTTGATTTCTACAAGTATTATAGGTTCACATGTCTAATTGTGATATAAAAGTATATGGTAGCATTTTTTTTATTTTAATGAACTAATGTTTATATAATAATATTATGTATGTTTTTCTTTAATTGTCATAACTATCATGATAACCTGGATTCTAATATATTTTTTTTAGGGAATTTGATATGTATTGACCTCCTTTTTGTCATCAGTCACTTGGTTGAATTTCTTGCATATCTTGTAGGTTAGTCACAATCATGCATTTTGTGTGATAGTATGTGACGACAGGTTAAGCCACACACTTTCATCTTGATTCATTGTTGACCTCAAAATTTAATTCTTTTGGTCACATTTTGTTCATCACTATGTTTGGAAAATATATGTGATTAGGTTGACATCGATTTATCAAGAATTTTACTTGAATTCAGACATTTGAAGTTTTCATGCACATATTTTTTTTCAAGTAAAATTTCTTGATCGGGGTCTTTTCTTGCGAAACGGATTGTATCGTTGCATCCGTATTGTCGAGGTGGGTTGATTAAACTCATTCGCGCTCGATTTAGACAACATTTGATATATGTTGGGAAGAGAGAGAATTAATGATAATTAAAAAAGAGAGGAAGAATAAAATTGAATTTAGGCTCCAATTTTGGTTGTCTTCAGGCTGCAGGAATCTCCAAGTATGGTCGAACCGGATGACGTAATAAATAATAATATTATTAAAATTTATAAAATGAACTATAAATTTTCCTCTAATAACATATTTTATTTTTCTCGAGGCTTTCAGTTAAGAGGTGAGAATTAATGTGATGTTTACTTTCTCAAGAGCAAAATCAAGTGCAAGCCAAGTAAAAGAGATAATAACACATGTTAATTTGAAAGATTAACGTTGATATTTGCTTGTAAAAACATCATTAACAATCATCAGGAATTAAGAAACCTTCTATAATGCAGTAAATTATAAGGGGAATGATAACGGCATAAAAAGTTACATAAAAAATCAAATAAAACTTAGAAAGAAAACTTATATCCAAATAAATTTAACATTAAGCAATAGGCATAAAGTATCGGATTATCAGAGATCACTGGATAATAATAAATACCAATAAAAATCAAGAACCCTAGCTTTCTCTAGTTGTAGGGATCCAAAACAAACAACAATGGAAAGAAATAGCTCACAGTAAGTCGTGCGCCGGCTGGGAGGTCGGAGGAGTGCACCGACGGCTGTGATGTCGGAGGAGTGCGCCGACGGCTGGGCTGGTTGGAGATGGTCGGAGGAGTGCGCCGACGACTGGACTGGTTGGAGATGATCGGAGGAGTGCTTCGGCTTATGCTTGTGGATGGAGGAGTCGATCTCATCTTGCTTGGAGTCGTCGAGCGAATAGGGAAGGAAAAGCCGCAAGCTTAGGGCAGACTACCGATAAAATACCTTAAAAATTCCCTACGCGCGTTCGATCGTGGATGGAGGGCCGAGATTTGCGAAATTTAGAATCGGCCGGTTCTTCAAAAACCGCCCGGTTCGGCGGTTCCCCGGTTCAACCGGGTTTTGGGCCGGTTTTTTAACGGTTTTAAATCCAGCCGGTTTTATAATCAAACCGAACCGCCCGCCGGACCGGTTCGCGGTTGAACCGGTCGAACCGGCCGATCCGGTCCGGTTTT